TAAATAAATAAAATTTGGTCAATTTTGTTCTCTAGTACCTCCCAGCTTTCTCTTCTCTTCCCCTGTCCCCTTCCTCTACTGATCTTCCTTCTATTTTAATGAGAGCTGCCCCCCACCTTGTTTTTTTCTAGCTTTTTTATCTTTATTTTCCATGTGAAACAAAAACAACCCTTGACTTTCTGAGTAAGGCTCATTTTCCTACTTGAGGAAAATCGCCACCATAATTCTGATCTACTAGAATGAATGAACTAATTAATTGTGTGTGTGTATATATTTAACTTAAGGAGACACTTCTCAAACTCTGAAGATTGTGACTACATAGACACAGAATACTAAGAAAAAAATATGCTACTTTTAAAGCACTGTGACTCCTTCACCTGCCATTTCCTATGAATCCTTCCTTTTCTAAGAAGCTCCCTTGCAGTTATACATCTTCTAATACCCTTTCAGCAATACATTTTATATCATTTCATAACTGTTTAACAGAATCTGTCACTGGTTTTCTTTTACCTCCTTAAAAGGAAAGGCATTTTGTCCTCAATTTTGCATGGTACCAACATTAATCATAAATACTTATTAAATGATTATAAGTCAATCTAAACTTTTGATATAAAAGATTAACATATATAGAATGTACTTTTAAAAATTTTGTATTCCTTACCAAATTTTAGTGCTGCAAGGATTCAACATATAAAGGTCCATGTTTTCTATGAGAATAGCAGATGTACTCTATTTCAAAACAAGGAAATGGAATCTATTACTTATGGAAAAATAATTTTTAAAAAGTATTTCAATTCTGAAGTGTTCTAAATGTTTCTGTATTTTTAGATCTTACAATATACGTAAGACTGAAACATACACTTGGGAAGGAAAAACATAAAAGGGACTAAAATCTACTAGATAAGACTACAGTTAAATTATCTTTGAAAGAACCCATTTTAAAATTCAATGTCTATTACTGTAAAGGAAATAAATTTCTATTAGCTATTTTCTTTTAAAATTTCTTTTTCATACTCAGGATTGAACTCAGGGGTGCTTAACCACTGAGCCACATCCCCAGTCCTTTTTTATGTTTTATTTAGAGTTAGGGTCTTGCTGAGTTGCTAAGTGCCTCACTAAATTGCTGAGGCTGGCTTTGAACTCACAATCCTCCTGCTTCAGTCTCCCAAATAGTCCCCAGCATACTAATGCCTATATTTTATTAATAAAGTGAGTAGTCTTCTATACTTATAAAAAAGAAAATTTATTCTTAAGTACCTTGGCTTCTGGATTAGCTGCCAAAATTTTGGCACCACATTCTACTGAGGCATAATTATTTCGATTTTTCTGGACTTTTTTGGTGGCATGTGGCCCTCCATTGGAAGATGGATGCAATGACTGACCTACAGACAAACCTTATTAGAAATATATGATGATTATAATTGAAAACACCCCCAGCAAAACAATGATCTCAAAAGCAACAGACTGTCTTCTAGAGAAGGACAGGTTTTAATGCTTAAAATAATATTTTAAAAATCTGTAAGAAATTCAAAATAGCTTTAAAATACCCCAATAGCTTTAAAACAATACCAGTAAACAAAGTAACTACAAAAATGCAAGTGTTACTTGATTTATACCTAAATACTAAAGTCAGAAAATGAAGTATGTCCATTACAATAAAAGCTTTTGGCATATATATATTATTCTACCTAAGGATGAATGTTATCTTTCTGTGTGTAACAATTTTTAACTGAGATTCAATCTACAAAAGCGAGGGGGAAAATAGTAAAAGTAATACTTTGCATACATGGTTTAAAGTTTTCTGACTCTGAACTTTCTATGCCTCAATTTTCCTCTTGAAAACTGAGATAAAAATCACTGCTGTTTTCCTTATTGATCCTCAGCTAATAATTTACACGAATGGCTTTTAATTAAGATTAAAACTGTTTATAATTGTAAATGGCATGGTAGCAGCAATTTTGTAAATTTCTCTTTTAAAATGTTTTCTAAAATAAGTTTTGTTTTGCCAATTAAAAAAGAGAAAAGCTATGTAAACCACTCAATTAAATTTAAAAAAATTAATAAAAGAATATCAGTGCTTCCTTACTTTTTTCTTTTTCTACTTCCATAACTTTCTTCTTCCATTCATCAAATGTTGGTATATCTTCTGGATCTTTGGGATTTACTACAGATGTAGGGTCAGTTTCTCCTGGTTTTGTAATATCAGCACTCTGTAAGAAATACCAAAAAAATAAACAGACTTCAACCTTCAAAGACTAGATTAATAAATAATAAAAGTAAAAACAAATGTTTCTGTCAAAAGTCTAACTTTGTAATGAATAACATTAATAGAAAAGTTTCAATTTATTTAAAAGCTGAATTTCTCTTAAAAGAACTGTAATCATTTCTATCCATGTACCACAACACCACAAGATATTTTCCTTCACATGTTAGTGATATAAGCATAGGTTGTTTTATAAAAACTGTAATATATCCTGAGCAAACATTACTCATATACAAAGTGTAGAAATTAATAAATTTATACCTATAGTGCATATATGTTAAAATCTAAATTAAAAAACATTTATTAAAGGAAACTAATTTTAGATGGATTATATATAGTTTCTACAAAATTCATAACAAGCACTTTCTATTCAAAAATTGAAACTTAGATTTAAAAATCTAAATATTTAAAAAACTATTTCACAATTTAAAAGTAGAAAAAATATCTTTATGACTCAGGGTGGTAAAAAGATTAACAAATACAGAATGCATTTTTAAAAAGCTGACACATTTGACTAGATTAAAAATTTAAGAATTTAAAACATCTTAAGACCATAAATTACATGAAAATAATAAGCCAAAGACTGAGAGAAGTATGTGCAACACATTTAGCCAACAAAGGATTACTGCCAACTCCTAAGAATGCTTACAAATCAATATGAGGGAACACAATAAAAGCAATAAATTCAGCAAGAAAAATACAATCAGAGTAATAACAACTGAATGCAAATGAAAACCAGAGATACATAAATTATACCAATCATATGGAGAAAAAAGTGAGTTATTGTGTGGGAAGTCATGGCTTGTCTATCGAATCATGGGAAATCTATCAGAATGCTGAAGTGATTAGAAACAATTCAAATATGCATCAAATGAAGAATGGACAAATTATAGTAGTAGAATAGCTGTAAAAAAGTACTGAAAGCAATGAATCTCAAGAATAATGTTGAATAAAATGCTACTTAAGGCAAGAATTCATATTTCAAAATATGCCAAATTAATAGTATGTACTGTTTATGGCTAACTAGAAAGCTCTAAAATAAAATTTCAAAAATCCAACAAATTGAAGATAATTCTTCTATCTGATGAGGAGGGAAGGGTATACAATCTGTGACTTATTTTTTTAAACTGAATAATATGTATATAGCTGTTTGTTATTAAATCGTTTTTATATTCCTAAGACTATGCTTAATGTGTTTATCAGTGGTCCTAAAACTGAAACTCTTCAGCCTGAAGTATAGTTAAGTGTAAATGCAAATTCACTGAAAATTTATGAAAAGAGAAAGAGAAAAAAGAACATCTGAAATTAAAAGGGAATGAATGCAGATGGGGTGTGCTACAGTTTGAATTGTTCTTTAACTGCACTTGTTTATCATCCCTAATCCCTTTTTATTTTTGAGACAGGATCTTACTAAATTGGGCTTAGGGCAAGTTTCTAAGTTGCTGAGGCTGGTCTCGATCTTGCTAGTCTCAATCTTACAGTCCTCTTGCCTCAGCCTCCTGAGTTGTTGGGATTACAGGCGTATGCCAGCACACCTGGCTGAAGATTCTTAAATTTAATAGTCATAACTTCTACATAGTTGAGAAACTGCTTAAATAAAGTCTTTCCGTATGTGGCAACAAATAGTTGATGGTGGCAGAAAACTCATTAAATTATATATAACCAAAGAGTCCACACATAGAACAATGTACATACAAATACTGTACTGGAACCAGGCATGGTGGCACAAGCCTATAATCGGAGCTACTCAGGAAGCTGGGAGTTGATGATTTCAAATTTGAGGCTAGCATGAGCAACTTAGCTAAAAAAAAAAAAAGGGCGAGGGACATGGCTCAATGGTAGCATGCCCCTGAGTTCAATCCCCAGAACTGCAAAACAAAACAAAACACAATTATATTGGAAGTAATACCATGAAATAACCACTTGCTCTCAGGAAGCACAGTTCATGTCAGTTCCACAACTGTCATTAACTACTTTATCGCCCTAATTTTGAGACAAATATGGTTAGCAAATTATAAGAGTAGCTAATAAAAGAATGCACTTTATAATAAAGTAAGAGATAGTGAAAGTTGTATACCAACCTCATTTTTTAAATGATCTGAAGCACTCAATGGAGATTTTGGATCATTGCTACCTTGTTCATTTGGTGAAACTTTTGATTCAAATTCTGATTTTGTTATCTTTCCTTTGCCATGTGAAGATGACACATTTTCTATATGTTGGCCAACAAGGCTATTTGAAACCAATAAATAAATAAATAAATAAAACAAATTATAGCTGGATAACAAAGTTTTAAACAATCTAAATGCCATAATTATTGCATTCAAACCAAGCAAAGAACAAAGATATCACCTCTCTCTCAATCATAAAGTCAAATTAAGTATGCACCAAAGTCCATTCAGACACATCACTGTCATCATTATAGTCATTCCAAGGACAAACAACTGTTCCCACGTACCTTTCAGGTGGACTGACAAAGGAAGGCTGTTCCACTGTTGCATCTGCATCCAGGGCCTCACCAACTTCACAGTCAGTTTCAGATTGCTCAGTTTCACTTGCCTTGGCTATTGGGATAGTACCAGCTTTATCTATTTCACTACAAGAAACAACAAAGACAATTTAGTAACTTAGTGGACCTAATGAAGCTAAGTTAAAAAGAAAAAAACCTATCAGTGAACTCCAAAACATAATGAAAAAATAACTTTACAATTCTCCAGAATGTGTTTTTAAGAATTCACTTAAGTCATGTAATGTCAACTACTAATAAATGTTCCTAGCAAAACATTATAGGTAAGTATTTGGTGTTATAAAAAATAAGATTTTTAAGCTGGGCGCAGTGGCACATGCCTATAATCCCAGCAGCTCGGGAGACTGAGTCAGGAAGATCCTGAGAGTTCAAAGCCAGTCTCAGCAAAAGCGAGGTGGTAAGGAACTGTCTCTAAGTATACAAAATAGGGCTGAGGATGTGGCTCAGTGGCCAAGTGCCCCTGAATTTAATCCCCAGTACCCACCTCAAAAAAAATTTTTTTTAATTATTTATTCTAAATGTATCCTCTTTAAAGTTAAATTTGCCTGTTATATATACTAATTCTACTAACATTTCCTGTTAGTATATTAATACTACTAACATTAGTTGTTATCTATACCATCAAAATCATCTGTTATCTCAAGATATATCACTGAAGTTCTGAGGCATTTTTAGAATTTCCCTTTAAAAATATACACCCTAATATTTCCCTTGCCTCACCTATTTCACTGAAGTCATGGCCAATATATTGGAAAAATAGGATGTACTGTTCAGGAATACAATATCTAGCCTAAAGTTGTTTCTGAAATAATAATTTAAATTTCTTTATTTTATAATTTATGTAAATAATGTCATTATTTCTCAATACGTTTTCTGTTCCCTTGTGCCTTACTGGGGAAAATCCCTAAACAATAATCGTAACATCTCTGTGTACAACTCCCTGGGCCTGTCCCTTGCATTCCTGAGGAAGACAGATTTTTTTTTTTTAAATACCAGGGATTAAACCCAGGGGCACTCAATCACTGAGCCACATCTCCAGCCATTTTTGTAGTTTATTTAGTGACACAGTCTTGCTGAGTTGCTTAGGGCCTTGCTAAGTTGCTTAGGGCCTTGCTAAGTTACTGGCTTTGAACTTGCAATCCTCTTGCCTCAGCTGCTGGGATTACAGGTGTGCATCACCGTGCCAAGCCAGAAGACAGGTATTTAAAAAGTGCCTGCAATGAAAACTAGTAGTGAGGCTACTGATGATGATGATGATGATGATATTAGCTGAAATATGTATTCTTACTATGTATCAGACATTCCTCAATATCAACCGATTTAATAAAGAAAATGTTTAATATGGTATAAAGAGAATTGTTTTGTTTTTTGGAATACTGCTGGAAAGAGTCAGAAGGAATACATAACTGATGTTCTAAATTAAAGATCACTTATTCTTAAATATTCTGGTATTTAATATTAAATTTCAAAAAGGCAGCTCTTCACACACCAACAAAACTATAAATGGAATGCCAGGGATTCTTAAATAGAAACTAATAACTGATACGAGTTTTGGATAATTATAGGGAATTTTATACAAATAAACACTATGTTTCCTAAGTAGAACCTCACTTGGCCTACACTAGGCAGAGCTTCATGGCTGGGATCTAATCCACTTCACTGTATAAAGCAGCCAAATAAACAAATTCATTATAAGATAATTACATTCAAAACAAACACAAAATGCAGGTATCAAAAATTAGTTCTGCTAAATAGTTGAAATTTCAAACTGGAGCATCAAGTTGCCATATCCTATTAAATGATTTTTCCAAATTAACTAAGGAGATTTTTTTTTCTTCTTCTTTATAATGACTTACTCAAGCTTTGAGACTGGAGTGATTTCTGAGGTAGATGAGCTGGAAATATTTTCAGCATCTTCACTGTTCCCAACTGCACTGGAAGTATCTTCATGCAAATCAACTGCAGGGAGTGTCTCAACCACAGGTGGATTTAACTTTCCTGACTCTGTATGCTGTTTAAAAAGCCAGTTACATTTAATGTTGAGATTAACAAATTATCTCTTTTGCTGAGCAAGAGTTTACAAAAACAGAAAGCTAAAAAACAACCATAAAAGAATGTCCACTAAAGCACTTGTATAAAAATCCTGTCTTCCAACATTACAACCCTAAGGAATATATTTTATATTAAAATACAGGCACAACAACACACATTTTTCATAAATTTGCATAAAGCTCTTATCTCTTTCTCCCTTCCTACTTCCGATTTTGTATTAGGGCCTATAACAGGCTGGGGATATAGCTCAGTTGGTAGAGTGCTTGCCTTGCATGCACAAGGCCCTGGGTTCAATCCCCAGCATCACACACACTCACACTAAAAAAACGCCAAAGTGTATTAGGACCTACAAATATTTCCTCTTACTACAATTAATGAATGCTAGCAACAACTAAGAAATATATTTAAATATACAAAACAGTAAAACAAAAAGTACTTGTCCCCAAGCAGTTTAGGGGCTAGTGTCTGTCAATACAACAACAATATGGCTGTACAAAGCTACACATGATTCTTGCTGTTCCTTCATAGTCCTAAATGCCCTAGGTCACACACCTCTCAAAAACATAATCCGAAATATACCTGATCATATTTGAAAATTTCTATAGCACCCCTTGCCTTACCATAATCCTAAAAAGAATTAGCTTGCTCCATGCCACCATTGTTTCCTGTAGAGTCTTTATCACAGTATCTAAAAGATCTCAAATGCCATTATTTATTTTCCCCCTTCCTGAACTATACTGTGCCTGCGTAAGGACTATATTCACTCGATTACTGACAATTCTAATATCTAGCATTAAAGTATCTAGCATACAGTTTGCATTCAAATGCTCAATAAGTGATCAACAAATGAGAAATTCATACTCAATTCAAGGAAAAGAAACTATGAACTACTAAGGATTGAAAGAGATAGGTCTTAAAGAAAAGGAAGGTCAGTACAGGAGCAAAAACAAAACACAAGGCACAGAATCAGGAGAATATAAACTATAATCATTTGAATAATTACAAGGAAAAATTCACAAAGGAATATAAATGATTTGCATAATTATTGTTGAGAAAAGAACTATTACATTAATATCAAACACTGCATTATCATATCAACGTGCATCAATATTTTAAAAAAATGAGCTAGTTCATGTTTTTTTTAAACCTAAACTCAATGTGTATTTTATGCTTCAGTAAATCAGTATGAACTAGCCACATTCCAAGCACTCAACAGCCACATGTGAGTAACAACTATTCTACTATATTATAGCACAGGTACAGAAGATGTAAACATTGGTAAGTATCTGAGCAAGAGCACACCAGAAAACAAATAATGGCAAGACTGTTGAAGCCAGTCATATAATTGGAAGGGTTACAGGTAACACTTTCCTACTCCTTTTCACAAAACTTTGGCAAATGTCTTCCAAAATTAAATAAAGTGAAACTCACTTTATCTCCTTTATATAACCCGGTAAATTTAAAGAGTACTGGCTATATTAACAAAAAGGAATTTTTCCTAATTCTGAGCTGAAAATATATTTTTTTAAATTAAGAGACAGTTTTTCCTTCGTCTCTCTGCCTCTGTTCCTACAACCATTACTGATATTAAATGATTTCCAGTTGCCTCAAAATTCTGATAGGCCTACAGTGTGCTCATTCCAGTTTTTTAATCTTTCATAAAGTTTGATGGAATGAAATACCCAATGAGATAAAAAGAAAAATACATTCTAGAATATTATGCTAGTTCATATTCCACATAAAATGGAAATATGGGTGTCAAAATACTCTTGTTCTACACACAATTACTTTCTTTTGTTGTAAATAAAGCAGTTTAGAAATAAAATCTTCTATATGAAAATCTGAAGAGACATTGTAGACATTATAATGAACCAATATAGAACCTAAGAAGAAATAAGGAATTACATTCAAACTTTTACTTCAAAGAGACTAGTCATATTTATTAAATCTGTAAACTTTATTTTATCAAAAGCAGTACTATTAGCAGATAACTAACATTAAGTTCCATTACATGGTACTTCAAAATTAAAAAATAACAATACAAATATGGTGAACAGAGGTATGCTATCTTCTGAAGTAGTTGAAAAGGCAAATTATTAAAAATCAAAGCAACATAGCTTACTTGTACATCCACAATACAGTCATCTTTTAATTTATTTTCTTCTGGAGGAATGGGCAAATTTGAACCCAATTTTCCCAATAATTCTGCATTAGTAGGTCCCTCTCTTTCATCCTATAGTACAACAAAGAAAAAAAGACTGATAAAATTGCTTCATATAACACTTAATAAAGACCACTGCTTTCTATATGCTAAAACCAAAAAACTGACCTTTATACATTTGACTCTACTTACTTTTATTTGTTTGCATACTTACTGTGTACTTTCCTATATCTCCTTTCTCATCAATACACTTAAAATGTACAATACACAAAAAACCTCATTTGATTGCTTAATAAGCACTTTACACCTACCACCCAGTGGTAAAACACAGTAAACTGTGATAAATATCCGACAAATGAAGGCACCCATAGTTTTTTTGTCTTTTTTACTCACATTCAAGTTAGAACTTCTAATACCTTTGTGTCTTTAAATATACCTTCTAGAGTATAAATACCTGAGTCAATCTGGCACAAATATCTAAATGTTTGCTGAAAGAGTAGTTTCCCTCCTCAGTACCTTTTCAGTGTATATATACTTTTTTTTTTTTTCTTTCCTTTGGTACCAGGGATTAAATTCAGGGGCACTCGCCATTGAGCCACATCTTAAGCCCTATTATGTATTTTATTTAGAGACAGGGTTCTCACTGAACTCCTTAGCACCTTGCTTTTCTGAGGCTGGCTTTGAACTCATGATCCTCCTGCCTCAGCTTCCTCGGCCACTGGGATTATAGGCATGCAACACCATGCCCAGCTCAGTGCTTTGACTAAATTCATTTTTATATTTTGTCTCCAAATATCCCATCAGAGATTAGACTTAAGTCTTATAAGACTGTGGGGAAAAGGATAAAATTATAGTTTCTTTTGAGAAGTATTTAGCAAGTCTTCAAAATTTTAAATATTCCATCCAGAAATATATTTCACATAACTTAAAAACTTAGTCTGTTTCAACTATCAAGCCAAAAAAAAAAAAAAACTCTAGTCATGTAAACGTAATCATAAATCTGTGTGTTGACACACACAAGCACTGTGCATATTGCGTGCACACATACAGCTGAGAAACACTGCAGAAGCCCATTAGTAAGGAAATGATTAATAGAGTATGGTTTATCTGTGTGATGGAATGAAAATGCAGTCATTTAGAAGAACAAGTCAACGTGAAAAGGTGACATGTGAAGGAGGATGCTAGTCAATTTGCAGAATATTTATGTGACACTTAATGGAAATAAAATATTAGTTGTATGCATATATAAAGGTATATCTATACAAACAGAAAAAAAATCTGAACATGTTCATGAGAAACAGTAAACTGTAGTTCCTTTGGGGAGAATGATATATAAACACGAATATTCTGTAAACAATATAAATTTAAAATATGCTCAAGTTGGAGGCAAAAGCAAATAGTCAATATTTATCTTTTATCATATAAAATGGTGAAACGTGAGATCATATTGGTTTCTTTGGATTCTATCTATTCACTGTACGTATCTACAGAAAAGAAACTACAGTTGCCAACTACAAATTATCCTTGTTATACTCATTTCTGACAGTTTTTCATTTATAAGATTGGGGTACCTTTAGAAACCCTTTAAGTATTTAGGCAATAAAAAGAGAGCACTAGGGCTGGGGCTGTAGCTCAGTGGTAGAGCACTTGCCTCACAAGTGGGAAGCACTAGGTTCAACCCTCAGCACCACATAAAAATAAACTAATAAACAAAGATATTTTGTCCACCTACAACTAAAAAAAATTTTTAAAAAAAGATAGCACTAGTTTTTAGTTCTCTGAACATACACTCTTTTTTCTCCTTACTATAGGACCAAGAATGATCATGAAATTCCAAATACAAGCAACAAGTATCTATAAATCTCTGAGCTACCTTAATCCAAAAACCTGAGCAACTTCCCTATATTAAAGCAAGAAAAAATATAAATTTCCACCAAAAATTGTGGCAAAGTATTTTTGAAGTGACTTTTATTCTAAATGTTTGGAGACAGTCTTAGAAAGCTGAGTACACAAATTATAATGTCAACTTAAAGTACCTTTTTCTGAAATTGTATGTCTTCATTTTCTAGCGCACAGTTGTCATCTTGAGAGTAATATGATGAAGCTGAAGCTGAAGAACTCTCTTTACAACATACACGCCAGCTGGGAAGCCTGGAAAACATCCATGGAAAACAACAACAAAGAGAGAGAGAGAGAGAGAAATTAAGTCAACATAGTCCCTATATGGGCTAAATTTGAGGTAATAAACAGGCTCCCATTCCAACACCCTTAAAAACTTAACAATTTAAAGATGAAGAATGCCCTAAGAAAAGTATAAACATGAGATCATATTGGTTTCTTTGTAAGATGCCATTGAATCCTACAAAGGTACAAAAGAAAAGACTCCGGGCTGGGGTTGTAGCTCAGTAGAGCACTCGCCTAGCACATGCGAAGCCCTGGGTTTGATCCTCAGCACCACATAAAAATAAATGAATAAAATAAAGGTATTGTGCCAACTACAACTAAAAAATAAATATTAAAAAAAAAAAAACAACTTCACAGAAACAGTACGTAGTAATTATCATCCTATCAAGGAAGGAAAGTCAAAGAGTTAACCTACTCAGAAAGTTCAAGATGCCAATAATATTCTAAATTTTGCCAGATATTTAAGAACAAATAACTCCAAAAGTTATCTAACATGTTTCAAAGCATAGAAGCAAAGCTTACAAATTATTCTTACATAGAGAACAGTGTATAAAAATTTAACAAATAGTGCAAGTTAACATTACCTATGAAATAAAATGCAAAACTTCTAAAGAAAACAATTAAAAAGTCTCTGGGAATATACCAAGGAGAAATATACCACTGCTGGATTAAGTAGTTTACCTCTGATATTCAAAACTGGTTTGATATAATAAAATCTATTTCTTTAGTTTGCTATGCATATCAAGAAAAATGTCTTATGATTAGTCCACTAAAAGACATCTGATTATATATCCATCAAGCATCTTTAAATCAATAATAAAGTATGTGTATATTTAGTATGGGAAACATACATAATACACAATCCTAAAAGTTAATATAATATTTAGTGAAGAAACCTAAAAACACACCTATGTAGGTCTGAAACAAAACAAAAATATTCATATAATATTACATAGTATAAGGATAAAGAAGATGGCAAATGGAAAAGTTACAAAGTAAAATTATTGAGTTACAAATAATGAGTTTACCTGCATTAATTGCAGATAACGAGTTAATAGAAGTGGAAAATTCCAAAGAATTGCCTACATAAGGAAGTTCTACATGTAAAATTTAAGTCCTAGATATAGAATTAATACACTAACAGACTCTCAGTAGAAACAACACCAACAATTATAAATGTGATATTAGAAGAGTCTCCATTTACAATAGAAAAATAAAATACCAAGAAACAAATAGCAAGAAATCTTCTACTACAAAGAACTGTTTGAAATTGCTGGTATTTGATAGTTGTTTTACTTGAAAAGAATGTCAATTTCACACAATTCAAAATGGTACTATATAAGGAACATTTGGAAAACCACATACTGAAGATATAAAAAGGGCAACTTTTTATGTAAAAAGCAAGCCAGAAACTGTCAAAAAGATTCTGATATGAGGGAACTAGACCTACATGAAACAATAATAACAGCAATATGGTACTGAGATGAGAGAGAAAGAAAGGGAAAGCCCAGGGGGCTCTAGAAAGAGAAATCCCAGAGTGACAGCTGTAAACAAGGAATGCAGGGCAACCAGTCTAGATGGGAGCTACCAGAAGCTCTGTAAGAGCCTTGCTGCTTTAAAAAGATGCAAATGACAGCACTACTGAGAGATCTTTCAAAGTCTAGAATATATACTGGATGATATTCTTTATTATATGTTTTAATTAAATAGAAAACAAACAATAAAACAAGTAAAATATTAGTTCCAGGAAAAGTAAAAAAAAAAAAAAAGTGTAGAAAAGGAAAAATGATTATAGGTTCTACTACCTGGCTCAACTGTAAACAGCAAGTACTTACCTAAATCAAATTAGGATAGAACTCTATAGCAGCATATAGTTAATAGAATCACCTGTAACACTTAGGTAAATACCAAAAAAATCAGCTAGGAAATGAAAGCAGTTTCGTTGAAAACACAAAATGAGGAAAAGGGGAACAGCTTCATGGTTGTATAGGGAAAAAGTAGGGGGCTTAGAACCAGACCTTTTACTTTTAGAACTGTTGACTTTTTTTTTTTTTAAATTTGTGGATCATTTTAATACTGATTTTTAATGAAATGAACACAAGTCAGGACATTTGAACTTTGGCTATAAAATTAACAATTTTATAATGCTTCCTAACAGGTCAGACAGGCAGGCAGGCAGACACACACACACACACACACACACACACACACACACACACACATCATTTAACAGGAAAACAGTAATGACGCCTTAAAAATATGAAAAAACAACTTTAAGTGTAAATCCAAAAATAAATCAAATGCAATGTTTTAAACTCCATAATTATCCCAAATGAACTTATCTACTGATGAGGGTTCACTGTTTGCTTTTTAAGCCTCGAGCTGGTTGGCCCCAAAATGGTATAAAGGACATCCCTTGTGGACTGGAGGAAGGAGACCTAGATGTGTACACTGGTTCTGTGGTATGATCAGGACAGGCTGTCATCTGAAACAAAGTTTCACCCTCTCTCCTGCTCCAATAATCTACCATATCCTTCCAAGCTTCATAAAACTCCAATCTACAAATCAAAGGGGAGCTCTGGAGTTGTACTTCAAAGTTTTCACCAAAGAAGCTCACAATCCAGTAAAGAGGCCTCAACGCCTGTGCTCTTTTTGTCATGTCTGTTTTGGATCAACTGGCAAGAGACTCCAAACTATAGACTGAAGAAAACGAATAGTAAAAACTGACTTGACTGTCTAACCATGTGCCTGCAAATTCCAGTGGCAAGAGGAAAGTAAAAAGAGAAGAACAATTATACACATGGTGGAATATTATTCAGCCATAAAAGGGTGAAATCCTGTCATTTGTGGCACGTGGATGGAACTGGAGGACATCACGTCAAGAGAAACAAGCCAGGGACAGAAAGACAAATGGTATATATTCTTACTCACATGCGGATGCTAAAGAATGTTTTTATAGAATTATAGAGTAAAACTGGTGTTACCAGAGGCAGGAGGGAAATAGGTTTGGGATAGATTGCTCAATAGGTAAAAAGGTAGGTAGATGGAATAAGTAAAACCATGACTTTTTAAACTATGAATACATTAAAACTAAAAATAACAAAGGGAAAGAGCAAGCTACATATTAATATAGTGAAATGCTACCATGTGTACAAGTTTCTCTGGAAGAATCTTTTTTAAAAAATAACACCTTGGTCGGGCTCAGTAGCACCAGAAACTACATCAAGATCATGGCAATCTGTGAGCCCTGACGTCTTCCTTTGACTCAAAATAAGTGGCCACTCCTATATAACTTACTATTCTTAAGGTGATTTGTTCATATATATTTTTTCTTGTACTTAGAAAGTAAATTCCTCAAGAACCAATTCATAATAACTGTATCACTCCCTAAATAAATCAAAACTTGCAAAGATAACGTGCTTAATAAATACGAAATAAATAAAGAGTTTTCTGTGGGGAACTGTCCTGTAGCACACAGCAGAGAGGAAATATAGCCATCTTTTTTCCTCTCCCATCACTATCACCACCACTACCATTACTACTCTCCCTCCACACCATACCCCTGCCACAAGCACATAAATTAAAAAAGAAAAAGAATCTGGAAGCTAGGAGAATATTTATCCTTTTCACCAATTCTTCCTCATAAACGTGGCATGAACTCACCATTCATACAGAAAGGTGTTAACTTACAGAATATTTGTAACAAAAGATCTTATTTTAAAACTCACATTTGAGTACCATTTAGGATACCAAAATTTCACACTTTTGGGTTGAAATAAGTCACTTTCCACCAGGATCATAATTATAGAGATAAGGCAAAGACCTAAGGAGGTGTTTGACATTACAAGAAAATATATTCAATCATGACAATTTACTAATAGGCCTAGCAAGAGAATTAAAAGAACAAGGACTAGAGTTACACAGTCTGTACAATCTTAGCCAATTTCTTAAACAAATATTTCTGTGTGTCTATTTCTTCACAATAATATTGGCTACTTCATGGAACTGTTTTGAGAATTTGATGAGCAGCTTAAATTTGCTTAGAACTGTGGACAGCACACTGTAAACACAAGACATTAGTCATTATAATGTTTATTGAAAAGAAAAACATTTTTGGATTTTAAGAGAAGGGAAGAAAATAGGTGATACTTTTTCCTGAGAACACAGTGACAAAAAACTAACAAACTAAACATGCATACAGTGGGAATAATCAACTGAAGTAGACTGCTTTGAGTTAAAATACACTATTTTCTGCAGCAGTTTTAGGCTCACAGCAAAATTGTATACAAGGTAAAGATAGTTCCCAGATTCCCTCTGCCCCTATATATGTGTGGCCTTCCCCATGATCAATATTCCCTACCAGAGTAGTATATCCATTACAAGTGATGAACATACATGGATACATCATTATCCCCAAGCATCCATAGTTCACAGGGTTCTCTCTTAGTGGTGTACATTCCTATGGATTTGAAGAATGTAAAATGATATATATTTACCATCACAGTATTATACATAATAGTTTAATTGCCCTAAAAATCCTCTGTGCTACAACCATTAATCTTTTTACTGTCTAAATAGTTTTGCCTTTCCAGATTGTCAAAAGATTAGAATCAAATACATGTAGTATTCTCAAATTCTATTTTTCACTTAGTAACACACATTTACACTTCTTCCATGTCTTTTCATGGCTTGACAGCTCACTTCTATTTAGCCCCAAATAATATTCCATTGTCTGATATACTTAAAAATGAAGTTTTACTTCTAAACTACAACACTGAATAAATGGTTCATTTAAAAATCCCTTTTAGAAGATTTCTATCTATTTGTACATGACTACTACATCAGTTGATTATCTTTGTTCAAAACTGGCTTTTTGCTTTGACATGAACAGAAATACACTAAGGAATTTAAGTCAGTTAGGTAGTTAGGACAGTACCCCGAACATGGAATTGGCTGTTTCTCTCCTCCCTCCCCTGCT